GTTTATGAAGAAAGGATTGCATATTTGAAAGGTGAAAGGAGATATGATGTGGCTACAAGGGGTGCCTTAAATCATTGGTATACCTTGTGCTTAATTCGACATTTTTTTTAATGCAATATAATGAAATCATCATATATAAGGAAATAAATTATCATTTTTATTAAAAGAAAATATATAATGGTCCTAAAAAATAAATCTAAGGAGAAATAAAAAGGTGCCTATGCTAGACTTATTGGGGAAAGGGTAAATAAAAAAGAAATAGAAGAAAGAGGTCACGAAATCTTGTCGTTGAAGCTCGCCTCTTGTCTTGTGTTGTTTTCTTTATCATCACTCGCTCTTCTTGTAAACTGGAGGTATGGGAAGCTTGTTGTTATCAATCAAATGTTGGATATCCTCCTTTAGCTTCCAACAGCTCTCAGTAGCATGACCCCTACCTTGGTGGTACTTGCAGTGTTCGTTTGGATTCCAACTAGGCAATATTTTCTTAAGTGGGGGATCTTGAATAGGTCCAATGGGAGTAATGATTCCCTTGGCATGGAGTCGATTGAAAGCATCATCGTAGCTAATTCCAATAGGGGTAAATTCCCTTTTCGGTTGCTTTCGATTACCCATGGCTAGAATCTCACTAAGGTCGAAAGTACCTACACTATTACTAGAGTAGGTGTTTCCGGAAGAAGGATAGTCGTATTCTTCTTCCCTTTACAGCCACTGTTACTATTGTTACTAATCTTGGCCTTCTTGTTGCGCGGAGGAACATGAAGGAGATTAGAATCACTGAGGTCTTGAACACGATCCTTGAGGGAGACATACTTCGGTGGTGTGACCACGACCTCTATGGTATCGACAAAAGGAATTTGGATCCCAATTGGGAAACCGTTTTTCAAGCGGAGGGTCTTGACTGGGACCAATGGGGTGGATAAGACCTTGATCGTGAAGACAGTCAAAAGCTTCATTGCGAGTCATTCTTATTGGTGTGTATTCTTCAATGGTCCGTTTTGCCTGTGGCTTAGAAGCATTGAGTTCTTCATTAAACTCTTGGCGAGAATTTTGTTCAATGGCCATTACCCGATTTGCTAATCCTTCTACCACATTCAAGAGCATGGCAATGACATCTTGCAGTTTTCGAACGTCCTCTTTTAGACTTGACGAGTCTTCCCTGGTATTATCTAAGAAAAGACTTTCATCCTCCCCGATCATGGCCACTTTATCGAGAGAGGTCATATAAGCTGTCTCGATCACGGGCTCTCCTACAGGTGCAATAAGAAGTGATGGATCGAAGGATGCTTGGTCATCTTCGATGGCTAGAATCTCGGAAGTTTCATTGTTATCGATCAGATCTTGAATAGCTTCTTTGAGTTTCCAACACTCCTCAGTGTCATGACCCTTTCCTTGGTGATATTTGCAGTGCTTATTAGGGTCCCACTTAGGTGGCCTAGCTTCTGGAACTGGATCTTTGATGGGCCCTATGGGCATGACTAGTCCTTTGTGATGTAGCTTCTCGAAAGCTGTTTCATAACTCATACCAAGTGGAGTGAACACCCTCTTTGATCTTTGGATTCGTGGTTTAGAGGCGTTCGTGGCATGTACTTCATTAATGGGAGAGGAAGAAGAAGGATGGTCGTTCTTCTTTCCTCTCGCACCATTATCTTTTAGAAGGTCATCTTCGATGTCAATGCCTATGTTATACACAACCTTGAAAGTATTTAAATTGTGTTAGTACTTTAAGTGCTTTGAATACTTCCCTTGGAGATTCTTGATAAACATTCTCACAGATTCTTTTTCGGTAGGAGCCTTGACCATATTAGCAGAAGTTTCCCTCCATTTGCTGAAGAAAGACGTGAACCCTTCGTTTTCTTTTTGTTTTAACATCTCAAGTTGTCTGTGGTCTGTTTCGTCTTGGATGTTACACTTATATCTATCTATGAAAGCGTTTGTTATCGACTCCCAAGAAGAGGTCTTTTCTTTATTGAGAGAAAAGAACCATTGTTGACGTACGGTTTCGAGAGATAGTGGGAACAGAGAGGGGAAAACCTTCTTATCGATACCCTTAATGCTCATTATAGTTTCAAAAGCTCTTAGATGGAAGTAAGGGTTGTCTATTGCCTTGAATTTAGGGATGTCAGTGGCGTTGAACTTATGTGGAAGAAGTTCCTTGTCCAGCGAGACCCCTTGTGAACTCATGCCCTGAAATTTATAGTCACTAGATAGCTTGCTTAGACTTTCTTGCATGAGGTCCATTTGTTGTTGCTTCACGGGATCATTGATCTTGAGTGTGAGTAGCTTCAGTGTCTCAGTCACGGTAACCAATTGGTTCCTAAGCTCATTGACTTCTTCTTGACTTGCCATTATCTTTTTATCCTTCCTCTTTTGACGAATCGGTTTATAAAAAAGTGAGACTTGAATAAAGAGGTTGTCCTTGATTAATCGCCCTTCTCTCCTTGATCAAGTACTGTGGAAAAGGAATTTGGGGATATCTATTGTTAATTATTTGACTCAAGCTTTATTCGACATGCAATGGATGGAGGAAGTGAAGAAAAATGGAATAAAATGTGAAGAAGAATGATGGAGGTGGAGGGATATGAAGAATTAGGAATGGAATATACCCCCCAACTTAAATGACGAAAACACCGACTTATGCATGAACCTAAGACATGGTCATGGTGACATATACTCAAAGCGTGTGCTAAGACTAGTGAGTGTAGGTGATATGTTAAGACTTGTGTCATGACCATGTGGCTAGACTATGTGACTAGACTCAAGCAAAGACTAAGTTAAGACTTCACGTATATGCATTAAACTGGACAGACTGTGGTATTTTAGTCATAAATTTTTATCTGTGACTCTGATTTGGATGAAACCAACGCCAAATTAAAGATAAAACTCGGGGCTACAGATCCATAGGTTTTACAACTCGTAGTTCTTTCTAGAACTCTGGCTATGACCAAAACAAGTTGACGCTTGTGCAGTATACGGGAAAAAAAAATCCGGGTTGACTTAAAGGAACTATGACTCGATTTCATGTTTATTTATTAGATAAAATTAATTAATTAAACAAAGTCCTTTAGTCATTAATCAGTTTATTTAGTCTTAACACAAGTCAAACAAACGGTTAGGAAAAATCACATAGAGTATGCACAACAAATAATGCACAATTAGTCAAGTAGGCACAATATGATGCAATGAGTGTGCAACCTAACCATGGCTCTAGTTCTCTAAAGTTCGGGATATGGTTTAGTCAATAGAGGGTCCATGGTTAATTGTCCAGATGCACCGCGCGGAAGCCTAACCGTGAAGGGTTGGCGCGAGTGGATGGGATACCGCGAGCTTTAGAAAAAACTCGCTTCCATGGTTTGGTGAATTCAACAATCTCGGATGTACCCTTTGTTGCACGGAGCGTTCAATCGGGTAGATGGAGCATGAATTCCCAGAGGCTTATGTCCATATGTAGAACACATATGGGTTTCAGAAAAGTGAGAAAAAATTCAATCAGGAAGTAGGATCGAGCAAACTATACGAAAAACCGGTCAAAATTAGAACGCATATTTCTGGCTCGGTATTGGGGGAAATTGGCGCCAGCAATCAGAGACTGGCGCCAGTTTTTAACTGTAGCTCCTAGCGCCAATACTGGCGTCTGGCGCTACTGTTAAAATGCTGGCGCCAATGCTCTGGCCCCTGACGCTACTTCCCACATGCCTCAGCAGCTTTCTGTGCTCGATAAAATTTTCCAGTTTCGCGCGGCGTTATTTCGGTCCTAGTTGTGAAAGATATTTTTCAAATTTCCTACGTGTAAAATCCTATGTTTTTAACTCATTACGGATGGTCTTTCCAATGAGATCTTTTTTATGCATATGACAATAATGTTAATCAAAATTACGCACATGAAATACTTAGAACGTTTCGAGTCTCATCCACTCATTCTAAATCATTGCCGAAACAAATTCAGGAATTAAAATAGAAATTCTCCCCAGTGGAGTCGCCAAAAACCGTGGGGAATAATTTCAAGCGTTAATCCCCTTAGCTTGAACCCCACTGTGATCATACACTAAACTACGGTGGCGTCCAAAAGGGAAGAAGATAGAGCAAAAGAGTCGCCAACAAGTTTTAGGAACTTGTAAACCATTCACATGGTGAAGGTTACACCCCTTAACGATCCAAGAGATCGTCAACTCCATAAGGTCTAGAACCAAATAAGGGTTCGGGGATGAAGGTACAAATCCAACCTAAAAGAGATTGAACCTGCCCTAATAATAGGCCTCTACTTTATTCTGATCGTATTCATGTGTGCTTTCTGACTAACATGCAATCAATAGGATTAACCCCTAAACCTGTTTATCTATGTTGGTTGAATTTAATGCACAAATAAACTATTATTGGCGATCACTTGAAATTATAATCAAATTAACCCTAAACAAGATTATTAATTACCTTATTAAGCGTGATTACAAGTACAAATTCCCTTTAAACATGCATAAAAGGTGTGATCAAGCAATAAATAATAAATATCAAGCAACATAATCATAAAATAAATATCATGAATAATAATTATAATAATAATAATAATAATCATCATCATAAATTATAACAAATATAATCATAATTATGTTCATGTTAATATTAAAGCATAATGATAGCAAGATCCTAGGCATGATACTAACAAGATTAATAACAAACCCTAACATGTCACTAAGCAATAAAAAACAAATCTTTAACCCTAACATGATACTAACAATCATAATATTAGGAAGAACATAGAAAGCATCGTAACAATCCACTAGTAGAAAAAACGCTATTTGTAACGCCTTATTTGTAACCAACAGGTTTTTTTTAGTTACAAATACTATATTTGTAACCAACATTAGCTATGTATGTTATAAATAGAATAGTATTTGTAACTGACAACATAATGTTGGTTACAAATACATCCTATTCGTAACGAACATTATAATGTTGGTTACAAATACATCCTATTTGTAACGGACAACATATAGTTGGTTACAAATAGGAAGGATATTTTATATACTCTCGTAACCCTAACTACCACTACAGCCGCCCCCTCCCCCCTTATTTTCTTTCTGATCTATATTCTCTCTCCTCCTCCGTTCTCTTCTTTCTCCCCTCTTTCACTCTTAGCTTCCTTTATTTGTTCCTCTCGAATATCTCCCTTCTTCACTCTCTTCTTTCCCTCAACCTCTTAGCAATTCTCTCTTCCACGAGCACACAACGCGCCATTAGCTATTATCATCAACAATCGAGCTTCACCATCAACCATAGCAGCCGTTAACAACTGTGCACACACCGTGAAACTATCGAGCATCCACACCGCAAACCTCCTTCAACATCGGGAGCTTGAATCTCGCAGCAGGCCAGGTGAGGTTTTACATTCTAAATCCCTAATTTTGCTCAATTCATTTTTAGTTTTATGAATTTTAGGGTTTTCAATTTGCTTCTGATTTTTCTTTCTTTATATGTGATTTTGTTGAATTTACAACAGGGAAATTGTTTGAATTTATATCTAATTTGTCCTCAAAGTAGTGTAATTTGATGAATTTGTAGTCGTATTAGTTAGATTATGCGGTGAAATGCATTATCTAGTCAATTCGAAGTGGAATTTGACAAATTTGAGTTATTTTAGGATGATAGAAATTGAAAATCATTAGGATTTTTGCTGAACCTTGATTTAATGATGTCGTAACTATCAAGTTGACCGCCGTTTCAATTTGATGGGATGTGGTTATAGCATAATCTTGCTATTTAGTTGCCAATTGCCGACTCCTCTCTATAATTATCAAAATTATATTTTGTTTTCTTCTCTATAATGCTGAGGTATTGTAATATTTATGGAGTTATTATGTTTTGTTGTACTGAGAGTACAACAATTTTCAGGTATTGAGTTTGTTTGGTTTCAATTATACTTCTTGTTGTCGTTGTTATGTTGTCAAGAGGTTCATGCTCGCGATTGTAGAATGAGTATTAGTGAGGGTGAGGTGAATATGAGTTGTTGTAGCTTCTTTGTGGACCTTTTTTTAGAATCTTAAACATCCTTAGTTGAGAATTTGATTTAGAATTCTTTAGAATGTATGCATTAATATTGAACAGGTGTATGTGTTGTGATACTTTGGAAAAGAATTTTCCAGTTTCCATTTTAACAAAATTTTGTGGAATGGATCCATATAAAATGAGGCAATGCATGTCGCTTATTTGCATGTGTTCAAGTTTGACATTCATGTAACGTGTAGAATGTCCTCTGCTTGATTAATTAATTTGATGTTTGGCTTTTCATTTCCTTTTGATGTGGCTCTGAATTTTATTCATACAAATATGCTTTTCGAGTCTGAAACTTTTGCTTTATATGTAGTTCGATTCCATAGGTTATCAAGGTACTAGAATTATAATTTACAATCTATAGGAGGATAGTTGGAGCTGGATTTTAGTACCGATCCTCATGTATTATCAAACTGATTTCATAGGCCTAAGACATTTTTTTTTAATTTTTTTTATGAACAGGATATCCAAATTTGAGGATTCAATAGAGATGAGAAGAGGTGGCTAGAAAGTATCCCAATTCTATGCATTTCTTAACATATCAGCATTCACTACGGGTATGTGAGGTTCATAGTTTAATTCTCTTTACATAATACTCGTTTTTAAGGTCAGACGCGCAACAAGTCACCCCAAGACTAGATGCATGGTCATAGACACTTATAGTCACAATAAATATTATGACACTAATCTGTTATTAACAATAATTGTATGAACGGTAAATCATATTTGAAAAGAAAAAAAAAATACTCTGACATACTGACTGGTGTTGCTTTGATTTCAGAGTTATGCATCAATCCTTTATCTAAGAATTCCTTCTAATTTTTATAAATTTATTGATTGTTGGGTATTGTAGCTGTAATCTAAGGCGGTTGATCTAACACTATGTGTCGTGGTATCCATTGATTTATGCGAGTTTGGTTAATTTTGTTTTTTTTTTGGTAATCTAGAAAAATTGAACTCTTGCTAAATGCTTATGGTTGAACATTAGTGACTTGAGAATTTTTTTTTATTTTATTCTGAATATATAAATATGTAATTTGATCTTATTTAGACCGTAATTGCGTGCTAACTTAGATAAATATAATGTATAAATTACCCTTTTGAACAAATCTATCATTTCCCTATAATCTAATTTAGAAGTCTCATTTTTTTTATTATTTATTTTTTTTGTGTTTGCACAGGAAAAGGAGCTTAACAACAGGAGCTTAACAACATTTGTGAAGGTTATACTAAGCGTGTAAGCCCAACGTGACAAACTATGATGGGAGCTATATAGACACTTTTTACTTTTTTAGACCTTTTTTTAGAATAATCTGTTGTAATGAAATGATGTAATGAGATAGAATATAATTTAGTTTGTATCAATTGAAAAGATTATTATTCCCCAGAATATTCACCTATTTATTTTTATTTTTTTTTGTTGTTGAATTGGTGCCTTTAATAATAATAATAATAATAATAATAATAATAATAATAATAATAAAATACGTAGTAATAATAATAAAGTTATATCGACCAAGCATTTATTAGGTATTTTTTTTTTTTAATATCGAAAATGAGCATTTGTAACCAACAATTGACATGTCTGTTACAACTAGGTTCCTATTTGTAACTGACATATCAATTGTAGGTTACAAATATTTACCCGTTTGTAACGAACATATTAAATTTCCGTTACAAATACATAACTATTTGTAACTAACAATTGAATTGTTAGTTACGAATAGGTACTCATTTGTAACGGACAATGTCAGTTACAACTGACAGGACTATTTGTAACTCAAATACTTGTAACGGCCAATGTTCGTTACAAAAAGCCTGTTTTTGTTAGTTACGAATAGAGTTTTTTCTACTAGTGATCATATTTAATATTAAAATTACCCTAGACATGATACTAGGAATACAATAATAACAATATAAACATGATTTCTACATCATAACATCAATAAAAAAACATTAAAGCACTTACTTTGATGTCTCGTACCTCTTTCTAATAACAAAGTACACACTTAGTAACTTCAAGGAAAATAAACAAACAATTAAATTAAATAATTGAAAGAGAGATTTGGGCCCAAACCCTCAGAAATTAAAACCTTTCACGTCTAGGGCGAAGGCAACTTTGAATATGGCTAACTGTTTCTAGATCTTGCGAATGCGGAATTTTGTATGTAAAAGACTAATTTAGAAAAGAGAGAGAGAGAGGGAGATGATGGTGAATGATTAGAGAGAATGAGAGAATTATCGAATGAAAACTGATTGTAGATGAATTTGAGAATGAAAACAGAGTTTTTAATACGTTATTTATAGAGAAAACAGCCAAAAGATAAAATATCAAAACAGAGCACTTGGCGCACGTAAAACGAGATTGGCGCACGCAAAACAGAGCTGGCGCCAGCACCAGCTTATTGGCGCCAGGCGCCAGGCCTGGTTCTAGGCGCCAATGCCTGGAGTCAGGCGCCAGGCCTGTTTTTGACGCGTTTTCGAAAATCAGATAAGTTTGCCGTATTGGAGGATAAAATCGTATCTTTTCCTCGAAAATGCTTTTTGATTTTAATTAAAAATCTGAAAAGTCAACAAAAGTCAATTTATCAATGCTAATTGAATTAGGAGTGAAAAGAACCTTCTTGAAGAATCTAGAAGACTAAAACCATTCCTAATTGCATTAGGAATGATAAATCATATTAGGCCTTCCTCTAGATCATTGGGCCGTATATAAAGCTCAAACCGGGCCCAGTTTGGTAAATTGGCCATAACTTCCTCAATATTCATCGGAATTGGGCTTATAATATATCGTTGGAAAGCTCTTGGCAAGCCCCATCCAACTACACTATTATTGGACCCATATCATGGACCAACCAAACTGGATTGGCTGTTTTCTTAAAATAAGTTTTCAAAAACAAAGAGAAGAGAAAAGAAATTAAAACTATCCGCAACACTAAACTTTCCACACTTTCGCTTCATTCGATTATGATTCGACGTGAAAGGTACTCATCACTAGGTTTGGTTTTTGGGGTGACACAAATGGGTGTCTACAGCTACCACCTAAATCAGACTTTGTTAAAAATCACTACCACTTAACGGAATCCGTTAAGTTTATTTTTAAATAAAAAAGAAAAATTAAAAAGATTTTTAAAAAATTAAAAAAAAACCAGCAACCCCACCCACCCCCTCCCCTAATCTGCCACCCTCTCCCTCCACTAATTTGCCACCCTCCCCCTCCCCCCTTCCGGCAGCCAGCGCCGGCGACCTCACCCCCTCCCTTTTCCCCACCCAAAATTGACAATCCTAATCATAAGCCGACACCCCCAAACCTAGACCACCACCGCCACCGTAACCCCCAAAACCCATACCAACACCACCATAACCCCCTTTCCCTTCCCTCCACCGGAAATTGGACCCCTCCCCTAATTCCCCCACCAAAATCGACCCCCTCCCCTTCCCTTACCCTTTTTGGCCATCCCTAACCCTAAACCACCACCCCAAAACCACCACAACCGAAACCCTAAAATTTGTTTAGGGTGGTTTTGGGGTGGTGGTTTAGGGTTAGGGACGACCGAAAAGGGTAGGGGAAGGGGAGGGGGTCGATTTCGGTGAGGGAATCAGGGGAGGGGGGCCGATTTCCGGTGGAGGGAAGGGTAAAGGGGGTGGTTTTCGTTCGGGGTGGGGGTCGGAGCTCAAGAACGGGAAAGGGAAAGGGGGGATTGGATGCGCATAGGGTGGGGGAAAGGGAGGGGGTGGGTTCGCGCAGCGGCGCCGGCACCGACAGGGGGAGGGGGGAGGTGAGGGGTGGCAGTGAGGAGGAGGGGTGGCTGCAAGGTGGTTGGAGGGGTGGCTAACGATGGAGTGGCCCCACTAACGGAAATAGTAACAGAATAAGGCATGTGGTAGTGATTTTTAACAAACTCTGTTTTAGGTGGTAGTAAAATAAAAAAAAATTTAAACAGGTAGCAAATGTGAAGCGTGGTGTTTTTAGTGGTAGCAAATGTGAAAATTTCCAAAAATTAAACCCTTGAATCTTTTGAATTGCAGAAATTAATTAACCAAAACTGATCTTAGCACTACGAATTAACATTCCTTGAAGATATCTTGGCTGGGAGTGCTGAAATAAGGTATGTACACCGATTTTGAATAAGAGTAGAACTTTGATTTTGATTAATGGAAATCTGAAATGCTATTTGCAATTTAATCGTTGATATACTCGATTGAGCAAGCAATGGATGTATAATTGGAGTTAAACTTGTTTGAATTTCACCCATATCAGCCCAATTTTAAAGTTAGGGTTCGTCCTATATCTGAATTCGGGTTTTTTTTTTTTTTTTTTTTATTTTTTTTTATTTCGGGGACTGTATGAGGATGAGTCCTATTATATGTAATTCCATATTTTGTTCAGATCAATTGGATTATAATGGAAGGTAATTTGTTGCAGGTGATGTCTTTCATGAGCTCATCTCCTTTGAAAGAGAAGATGTGTCAATGTGGTGTTCCCTTATCAAAGCTGACAAGCTGGACAAGGGAAAATCTTGGGAGAAAATTCAGAACTTGCAAGTTTCATGATCCAGTGACTGAGAGCAGGAGGTGTAAAGCCTTTGAATGGGCTGATCAACGTGATGGGACAACATGGCAAACAAAGGTTATCAACAATTTGTTGCTTGATAAGAAGCTGTTAAAGGGTGAAGTTAGTGACTACAAAAGGGAAGTGGAAGATCTAAGTGGCCAAATGAGGTGCTTACTCAATGAGGTTGAAAATTTGAAGCTAAAATGTAAGGCCCTCAACTCTGTTAGAAAGAGAATGAGCAAAGATGGTGAGGGCAGGGGATGCATGGATCAACAGTTTAAACTATGGCTTGCTGTTATTATTTGTATTGTTGTTGCAGCCGTAGTGTCTTTTATGTTTAAGTAGGTGCAGTATAGTAGGTTACTAATGTATTTAGTAATATGCAATGGACATGGGAGCATTGGTTGTTATGTATTGTAAATGAAGTGGGTTGAATCCACATTTGCTTTTAATGAATGGTGAAGTGTTTGCAATGTATGTTTGGAATCAATGAGCAATGTTTCAAATAACATCAACAACTTCAATAAATCAGCCAAAATAATAATTTGCACAAAAGTAGTTATATTGACCATTAAGCCACAATTTGCACAAAGTTTGGCAACAAAAGAGGCATACAAAAGACTTAAATCAAGTTATTTGTTCAAAACTAACACCACAACCTACTGACTTAAACAAACTAACAACAAAGCACCTAAATTATTTTCTGCAGTCATACAAAATGAAGTTGATTACATATTAATCACTGAGTAAGATTAAGCTTGTTAGCATTTTGAAGCTTTTGCCTCCTGGTTTGTACTCCAACTTGGCTGGTGGTGGCTTTTTTGCTTGCAGTTGGCTGACTAGAAGAAAGCCTTGTTTGGGCTGCATCCTGGGATTGTTGTTGTGATACTGGAGCCTTCCTTTTGCTCCAAGGTTCCCATCCATCCAGGCCTCTCTTGTGGAAATGTCATGTTGCCAATGTTGTTTGGCCCAGCTCCAATGACATTCTGTAATAGGTTTTTTTTTTAAAAAAAGAGGTCATAACTGGCCTGCAGACATGTGCACATAAACATAAATCAGACAACATGTGCTAGCTAAAATGTATTACCTTCCTTGCAACTCTTTCCTCCTTCTTCTTCCTTTGATCCACTACCCAAGGTGAGTTTAAGGGAGGCCTGCCTGCTGCTTTTTGTTCAGATGGCTCAGGAATAGCTTCAGCTTTGGAAGTCTTTACATAATGCCCAAACCCACCACATTTTCTGCATTGGTTCTTCCTATGCTTGGGCTTTTGTTGCTGGGCCCCTTTTGATGATCCTTCATCCTGCTCCAACTTCCTCTTTTTCAGTTTAGGTCTTCCTAGTTGTATCTTAACAACTGGTGGAAGTGGTTCTCTGACATTCACCCTGTCCCAATGCTTAGGACCTGGCATTGGCTGAATAGGAGGTTCATAAGCCTTCCTGTAGGTGTTCATGTTGTAGTATGGGTGCACAAACTGCTCAATATCAGATCTCTGGTCCATTACACATGCATAAGCATGAACACAAGGATAACTAGTAAGCTGCCAGTGGTAACAAGTACAAGTTCCCTCACCCAAATCCACCACAACTTGGTCATCATTCAGCTTCACTTCATAAGTGTCACCCCTGGATGCTTGAACAATACAGTTCCTAGAAACAAACTCCATTCTTTGAAATATTTTCCTCACATATGGGGTCAAGTTGCTAGTAATAATCTTAGCATCTTCCCATTTCTCATTATTCCTATCATCATGTACCTCCTCATCCATTCCATTTGGGTGAGGATTGGTTTGTCTCTAGCATCTTTAATGACTGCATTAAAGGTCTCACACATGTTGTTAAGCAACATGTTTGACCTGCAGAG